TGGAAGGGGTGCTGGGAGAAAATTGCCCACAAGGATGGAGAGAGTCAGGTGAGTGAGGAGTACCACAGGGGTGATCGCAGTGATTTTATGGCAGCGTAGCAGAGCAACAGCAAAGGGAGCTGAAGATTACAGCATGAAATCAATAACCAAGTGGTGTTACAGTGCAAGGAAGATCAGTGCTTCACAGGTAAATGTACAGCACAGTACACAGTACAGCCCACGATGTTGTGCCGAACTTTTACCCTCATCCTAAGATCTATTTCACCTCCATCGCTACCTTACACTATCGTCCATATGCCTATCTAATAGCCGTTTAAATGCCCCTAATGAGGCCGACTCCACTACCCTCTCCGGCAATGCATTCCACGACCCTACCATTCTCTGAGTAAAGAATCTACCTCTGATGTCTCCCTGATATCTACCTCCACTCACTTTAAAACTATGTCCCCTCGTAAAAGCTACCTCCACCCTCGGAAAAAGTCTCTGGATGTCTACTCTATCTATACCTCTGATCATTTTGCACACCTCTATCAAGTCACCTCTCATCCTTCGTCATTCTAAAGAGAAAAGCTGTAGCTCTCTCAACCTTTCCTCCTAAGACCTTCCCTCCATTCCAGGCAACATCCTGGTAAATCTCCTCTGCACCTTTTCTAACGCTTCCACATCTTTCCTGTAATGAGGTGACCAGAACTCCAGATGTGGCCGAACCAGGCTCCCTCTCTAATTCATCACATCTTCCCTCACTTGGTCTCTCCCTCCAACTGTTTAGTTCAAAGCCCTCTTTACCCACTCTGGTTATTTGATTCAGCAGAACAGAGGTTCCAGCATGATTCAGGTGAAGATTGATACAGCTCCCACTTTCTCCAGTACTGGGGCCAGCGCTCATGAATCAAAACCCATTTCTCCCACAGTGACCTTTGAACCATGCATTTCTAATCTTGTTTACCTCATGCCAATTCTTCTCGTGGCTTAGCGGAAAATCCAGGTATTATTACTTTTTGAGGACCTGTCTTAGAATTTAGTCCCTTGCTGCTCATACTGCCTCAACAGATCTTTTCCCAGTCCTCCCTGTGTTGTTTGTGTACATGGGCCAAAGCCAGTGGATCATACCCCTATCACTGTTAAGTATC